TTTCCTTTCTTTAGCCAGTTTTTACCCTAACAATTTCATCAGCAATCATCCGTGGACGGGAGTGATCTGGGAAGCACAAATCGGCATTGAACCCAGTTAAGGTCTGTAGTCGAAATCACGAAGTTTTGACTGACTTTTCTTTTGAACATTTTAAACTCTCGGAAAGGGTAGTCACGTGTTCAATTCTGTCCTGATTTCTGAGTTCTGCAAATATCTCAGTATCTTTCTGTTGTATTTCATGGGTATGGGTAATAGGCACTAAATAAAAAGGTATACATTGTGATTTCATAGTGGAATGGTTTCATTCGGTAGTTATGGTGACGGCGTGGAAATGAAATGTCTTTCTGAGTCGAACTTCTAACTCACTTTACTTGTGGTAGCTTTTGAACTTCGACAAAGAATGTAAAAGCGGTACTGACATGCACAAGTGTCTATTCTGCCGTATAGATAATATGTTGGTAGGTTAATGAAAGGAGAGAATTGGAAAAACGGCTAGATTTTACATTATTCATTCAGGAGCCAGTGTATCGTAACGACTATGAAATGTAATATTTGCGCTCAAGCAGACATTGCTTCAGTATATGTCGCTTTTTCTTTCCTAGACTTTGTAGCATATTGCTTGCTAGGTTTTGAGCTTCTTGCCATCTAAATTTTGCAATTTTTTCCTTTCCATGGAACGTAACAAATGATTGTTAGAGAGTTGCCAGTGAAGATGACATATGGTTACTCTTGTAGTCTCATGACATTTCAGATTAATAATGCAATGGAAGTATCGAATATAATTGTTTTATCATTCCTTCTCAATTTCATATCCTATTTTGCAGACCCATAAATCTTCGTAGATGGTGGCGCGTCCCATGGTGCCAAATAGGGGGTTGATCGTCGCCTACAAAAAGCGACCTAATGTTTCCCTGGGGCATAGGTCGGTCCAAAGAATGGATTTCCTGTTTCTCCTATGCCGATTTGGCACATACCTTCTATATTTACGAGGAGGTATTCATGCATGCGGAGTGGTTCGGGCAAAAACCTGCAATCAAGTAACAGGGAAGTATATAGGAGGTGGTTAGAAGTAGCCTCCAACAAATAAGCTCCCATAAGTTCCCCGTTTGTTGTGGTGGGAGAGCTCCTCTTAAACACCCCTTCTCTCTATCTCTCCTCCTCTTCCCTTCCTCATTGTTCAGAGCTCAGCAAGCTGTAAGTGACTATCAAAGAGCTAAACACAACTAACTGCCTTCGTTCCTGAGTATGGAGAGGCTGCTAAAGCTTTAGGGGCATTCTTGACTACCTAAATTTCAGACTTGGATCTGAGTTCTCAGTAGAGAACTTGACTGTGCTAGCAAGAAGGATAAAGTACGATTTCATCGGACGAGCTGAGACGGGAAGACACCATTCATTCAACGCCGTTCATGAATGGAGAAGAACTGTTCCTCGAACATGTGGTAGCAGTGTAGTCAGCGGCGTCATCGACCTCGTCAAAACGAGTATGGCTATGAACATCGATTCATTCGAACATACTATAACGTGGATCGGCCGACTACGATTAAAGAAATATGGATCAATACCAAGTTTGGCAATCTTCGTGGTTTGCACACCGACATCAACCTATGACGAAGTCGAGGTCGAAGCGTTCTGTATGGACTTGGAGAAGTTCTACAGAGAAAACTATGCATTTTTCAAGGTCATCATTTGAGATTTTAACGCCAAAATTGGACCAAGAAGAACGTTTGAAGAACGTCATATTGGGACTCACGGATTAGAGTGGAAGGAACAGGGTGATCGGCTGAGTTTATCATGACGACTAAAGCCATCCATGGTAACCCGCAATTCCAGAATCGCAGCCCTTAACGATGGACGTAGGAGGGTCTCCCAGAGAAGAGTACCATAACTAAACGGACCGCATTAGTGAATCGAAGGTTTTGCCTAACCGATGTCGCTGTTATCCTAAAATTATACACGGATCAAACCATCGACTCTTTGAAAGATTTCATTTCTCGTGGAAAGGCGAAAAACTACTAAATTCGAAAAACGAAGTCACAAAGCCACCATAAAGTGAGGTTTGTTCGGATCATTGGTCGGCTGTTGGGAAGATGCCGTCTACAATAACGCCAACGAGGAATGGGATCGTCTTGTTCTATACCCTAACGTAAGCACTATGAAAGCCGAGAGCTCGAAAGTAACCAAGAGACGTTTATCTCCAGAAACACTTGAGCTGATACGCCAACGTGTAATGCGCGAGGTGCAGGAAGCCATATCCACACTTGCAAAGCAATGCAGTTAGACGTTAGACGATTTTGAAGACAGAGGACCAGCAAGAATGGTCTAAGCGGCATAAGTTGCGAAAAGCACCCATGGGACCCCGTCGAAGGTTTGTTAATCACAAAACTGCTGAAATGATTGCACTGCTATTCGCAGAACGAACAGTTACATCTTCCAGAAAGGGAGTGGACAGAATCATTCACGAGTACTACTCAGATCTCTTCATTAACCAAGTCCTCTTGCGCTGATACGAAATAAAAGAGGATGGATATGTCCTACCAGCGGTTCTTCCCTCCGAAATCCGACATACCATTTCGTCGGTGAAAAATCGAACAGCACGATGTCCAGACAGGATAAGATCTGAACACCTGAAGAACCTTACACCAGTCCTCGTAAACACATTGGCTCGGCTCTTCACACGTTGCATGTCTAAATTCAAGACCCCTACTCAATGGATGACCAACAAGGTCATACTAATGTTCAAGAAGGTTGATCGCCACGATATCGGCAACTATCGCCCAATCTGCTTGCTGTCTGTCCTCTACAAACTTTTCACTGGAGTCATCCTTAGCAGGATTGATAGAATACTGGACGAAGGAACCATATGAGCAACAGAGTTCCGCAAAGATTCAGTGCAATGGACCACATTCACACGATGAAAAGACTCATTGAAGTATCGCGAGAGTATAAAGGACCGCCCTGTCTCATTTTCATCGATTTAAAGAAGGCTTTTGGCTTAGTTGAGATAGAAGCACTCATGGAGACCCTGGAAACCCAAAGAATCCCTACTCAGTGTAAAAGGTGCTTGAGCTGTACAAGACTTTCACAACCAAGATATCACCTTTTTGAAGTGAGATTAACGTATTAACATCGCTGTCAAAAGGTAGGTTAAGCAAGGCGATACCATCTCTTCAAAATTTTCCACACTTGGAAACGACATCAGAACATTGGGTTGGGACAGCATGGGAGTGAAAATCGATGTTCGGCAATTACACGGTCTTCACTTTGCCGGTGACGTAGTTCTTATAACATAAAATATTAGCCATGCGGAACGAATGCTTGCCGACTCTGATAAAGCATGTGGCAAGATTAGCCTTCGGCTAATCTCAGAAGAATGATGTTCATGGAGAACGGTTTACGTAGGTCCCGTTCACGCTCAGCGGAATGAATCTCTTCATATGTTGCAGTGCCGTCTAACGATTTCAGGAAATCGACATGATGAACGACTTAGCTCCAGAGTTGAGCAGAAGGAAACGAGCTGATTGGGGAGCTTTCAAGAGCATCGAGGATGTAGTGAAGAGAGCAAAGAACACCTGATTCCATGTCCACCTTTTCGAACCAAGCTACTTCATGCGCTAACGTATGCGTCAGAAAACCTGCTCGATGCGTAAAGAGGATGAGAAATTAGCATTATTGAACGTGCAGTCGAAATGACGTTGCTAGGAGTATCCCGTGTCACGCAAGTAAGGGAAGGGATCCCAAGCTTCGAGTTGCGTCATCTATCAAAAATCAAAGATGCCGTTCTGTACGCTAGACACTCGAAGATAAGGTAGGACGGACACGTAATGCATATGAATGACAACCGATGGACAAGAGCCGTTACGGATTATTTTTTCGGATGCCACACACTGTAGGAAGACCACTGGTTCGTTGGTTGGAGTTCTTCACGAAACCCCTAGAAGAATAGTGTAATGCTCAGCGAGTCCCTAAAGCGAGCATAACCCACTTGACTACTCTTGCATGCGACAAGAAAAACCTGAAGATTTACTGTCACCCACTCGAGTGAATTGACGATCAACGTGACGGCAGGTGACAGATCATTTTGTGGACATAATGCCACTATAAAGTTAGACAACCAGGACTTGTTTGTAAAATTATGACCTCAGTAGAATATGATCTTAGGCATGCATTTCTTTGTCCTTCGCTTCTTTAGCTTAATGCTTAGGAGGTGCTTTATCGTATCGTACCTGTGAAGATCCAGGTTCGGTCTGTTGATTCTATATTACATTTCCATTGATTATTTCACACAGTTTCATTCCGTGATCGCACTATGGCAGCGAAATTGCTGAAAACGTATGAGACGCTGGATTGGATCTATTATCGAGAAACCAAGTACCTCATTCTTCCGGTATCGACACATTAGTACCAGACCTGTCCGCGACCAACCGACTCTCTTCCACAAAAAGCTAGCTACCGATTGTGGTGAAGATGAGAGAAGGTTCGCACGGAAGATAGCATACATTGTTGATGCAAGTGCGAAGAGTTTTCTGGACGATATTAAACTAGTAACCAATTATCAAAATAGTACGCACGTTTATTTGTCGGGTCATGCAAAGGACCTTCTATGTACATTCTTTGAGGAGGTGAGGAACGAGAGGGAGTTTTGATAATTGGTTACTAGAAGAGGTTAATCTTTATTGGTCAATACCTGCACTATTAAAGAAGATCGCCGCAGTTTCATATGTCGTCATTCTGTCTCGGTGTCAGTGTATTATGTGTGCTCTCAACCAACTTTTGTGCCTTCTAGTCATTGGACTCAGGCGTTTTTCGTTGATTTCATTCTCAGGATATAGGCAGTCCAATGTCCACAACCACGCATATGTGTATGAGACTATACTTTTGCCGGCTACGTTATAAAAAACCAAGGAAACAATGTATACTTTCTCAGTTAATGGAAAGACTTTCTGTTGGTGCATGTTCATCATCTTACTATCATTAGAAGGGTCACGTTATAGTATGCGCGAGTGGCTCTAATCAATCAAGAACATAAGAAAGACTTCAGTATAGTGACAGATTCCTAGCATATCCGTGGTAATACGCCTTTGTTTCAGTGAGCAAGTGACCAAAGTAGTTTCTTTTTTGAATTTGAAAACCGACGTCTCATTTAGTGGTGAACATTATTAATTCAATTAGAACGATTAGAATCTACACATCTCTCTTTTTCAATAGCTAATTGAAATAGGAAAAGAAAAAAGGAAAACGATTTCTTGCTTTCTTCAACTACTATGAAATTCCAGGAACCACAAATCGCTTCTTGACAAGGTCTTCGTAATCATATAATTGCAACTTTTGCATTCTTAAGGGGCAGAATAAAAGGCTTTTGATGCAGCAGAGCGACGTGGTGTCCACGAATGCAGCAGTGAAGTGTGGGTAGATCTCTTCTACAAGGCTAAAAAGTTCTCAACTCTTGAAGATCTGTAATTGGCGAAGAATAACCGATAATTTCTGAAAGTTTTATCGCTGTAACACGACCTACTAAGTTGCTTACAACGCATGACGTTCACGTCGAGGTCGTTGAGGAAGGGCTGCTATTGGTAGCTAATTTCTTCTTAAGGAACAAATTGATAGACTTTGGTTTATAATTTTACACAATTACATGTCATTAGATAGTTTCACTTTAGCTTGCGAACTGTGAGGAGGATGAGGAGTTGTGGGTTGAGGCCGAGTCGCCAGAAGGAAAGCCGTACTTCTACCATTGGCAGACACGTGAAACAGTATGGGACCGTCCTGAAAAAGCAAAGGTCGTTGGGCAAACTGAACTAGCTGAACTTATTCAAAAATCAAGTGAGGAGGAACGAAAGGAACGTGAAGGTGAGGTCTATTTTCCGCGCGCTCTAACCGTAGGTGAATTTTTTGAGGCTCATTTCGTGCTGAATATGCTCGCATCATTGCATTGTTCATATAATATGTTATAATAGTCTCCACTTTTGAAAAAGAGATTTTGCATGAAGTGAACTTCCTGTGCTGTGGTGTTGGGATACCCATATCCTCGTCTGCCCTGGCACATGTTTTCTTCTTTGTAATTAGGAACGTTAATGTTCATCGACGAACATTTCGTAAGAATATCGATGTTGAAATATCGACTGTATTTGTGAATATGGGTGACTCGGTAGGAGTTTCAGGATTCAGAGGATATCAGGTTAGTGATGAGCAGGTATAGCGATAACTTTTATTGTAAAATGATAAAATGGACACGATTTTATTGTTTTCGTTTTTCCCTCCCTATTGTATTCTGCACGTCGACGACATCTACAGGATCATAAGAAGAAGGTTCCTGTATGGTTCTGGTATAAGCTGGCAGGTTAAATCATTATAATATGATGAAACGCATAAAAATCATTGTATGCAACCGAACACTAGCATTTTGTAATTTCGACCTGATCAATAAGAATTTTGTGATGTCGTGCGCCGCCAAATACCTTTTTGAAATCGGTCTTTCCCAGTGCGGTAAAACGGATTGAGTCTTGTTTAAAGCTAGATTTTTCCCCTCCAAAGTTTAATTTTTACGAGGTACATTGTTTTAAATCGATGTATTTATTGTCTGTAGTGTCTCTGTATCATTTGCGTGGTATTTTATTTTCAAAGATATATTCAAGTTATTCTTCAATTATGCTTATCTGGATTGTGAGTGTAGAAATGCGACTATAATAGTTCATAATTATAGGGATGGGATTTCTATGGTGTAATTGCAACAATTACGATGCTGAGATATGAGCAGAACTCGGAACCTCCGTTAGGCTTCGAACCCATGGTTAGCCTTTCTGAGGGCTCATGTGCTATCTACCAAGCTAAACGAGTCTCTTACTTTATCTTTCCTTTAGTCATGTTTTTGCTCTATCGTTGCTGTCAGCAATCACCTATGAGCGGGAACAATCTGGAAAGCACAAATCATCGAACCCTGTTAAGCCGAAGCTGCAGTCGAAATAATATTTTAACTTTTATCTGGTTGACATCCCTTGACTTTTAATTCTAAAATTGTGGCTGCGAGAAAAGGAAAAACGTCGGCTGGTTTGGTAGGTAGCATATGAGTCCTGGGTAAGAATTCTCGTGGTTTCGAAGCCCAGAGGTTCCGAGTTTTGCTCATATCTCAGCACCCCAATGGTTGCATTGTATCTTTTTTCTGTATATTTGTATCTGCATGAAAGAAAAAGAATAGGCAGGAAATAAAAATTGAAACGTAATAGTTTTGTGGGAACAGGGCCAATACTTCAAGATGTCTTAAGATTTTAAACAAGTGTTGCAAAATGAAGCAAGAAGGAGGATTGAGATAGGATATTGTTAGAGTTAAGATCTATTGCAGAGAAATGGTCACTGATTAGTGACTGATTTCACTTTTCTTTCTTTCTTTTTTCCTTTCGTCTTCTTCAGGAAAGGCGAAGACGTCGAAATGTTATCCGAATACACATCTTTATCATCCTCGTGTTAGCTTAAACAGTACGAGAGGACATTGAGTGTTACTACCATGGTTAAATGACGGTTGGTTTGAAACACTGATTTCTGTAGTCAGAAAGGAACGGTGAAAACATTCTAGCCTACCTAATGTTTTTTAACTACGTTAATTCGTCTTGGTTTTTTTTTAAATCTCAGCGAGAGTATTCCAACTTTTTGTTTTGAACTACGTTTGCTTATAATTTTCCATGACTTATTGGTGTGTTTTCGATTAAATTATTTGACGGCGCACGATGATCTCGTCCTTGTTAAACAAAAAAGAAAAAAAAATCTAAGGTTGCAACAAGCAATGTTAATTGTGCGTGTGTAGCTAATTATCCGTTGTTAAAGTCGCCAATGAGAGATGTCGATTGTGGCAGATGGACAGCGGCGTGAGCGTGTACAACCAGATTCCAGAGCTCCCTCTCTCCGCTTCGCGCTCGTCGCTAGCGCAATAGTGTAATGTCTATTTTGTTATATGTAGGAATCTACATGAACAAGAAAGGAATGTCTTAAACATAAAGAATTCGCGAATGAAGAGAACATACAGTATTCAGTCGTTAAGTCGTTTACAAGCGAAAAACGTAGTCATGTGAATCCCCTACATTGTTGGACTGCTGTCGTTCGCATCTGTGCAATATCATTGTCTTCCTCCTTCTTAATAGTTGATAAGTTATCTCGCCGTAGTGCGAGCATTAGTCCTAAGTTTTGATTTTCAAAATTTTTCAGATGCTCAACGAAATGCTACTACTTATGCACAGAGGCCACCTACTGGTGAGTAATCTAGAATATTTACTGATTTGGCAGTCTCCGTACCGTTTTTTATAACAAACACACCAGGACACGCGTCTTTTTTGTAATGATTCTCAGAATGTTGGACTTCTACTAATTCGCATTTCCGCTATATTACATAATCTGTAAGAAGTTGCAAAACTAGTGTTTAGGATTTATGCCACCGCCATTCTTCCCACCCGGTTTTCCGGTATCAACCCGTGGGCAACAGCCAATGGTTCCGACAAGTCCAGATGAGGCTTGGAATGAGTATACTGCTCCAGACGGTCGTAAATACTACTACAATTCCATTACACAAGAGAACACCTGGGATAAACCTCAGGTTTTGATTGATAAAGAAGGTAGCTCATCGTGTTTTTTACGACAACGAAGTGCATCTGAGTGTTGTAATGAATACTTCATTATTTCAAGCCGGAAAATCACCTATGGATACCACACCACCGGTACAACAAACAGCGTCAGCGCCAGTAGGAACGACATCTGGAGTACAGCACGACGCAATTGCTGAGGCACAAGCAAAGGCACAAGCTGCTTTAGCAGAGTATCTCGCTCAGGTGATTTTCTGGAGAGATTTATCCCATGTTTAAGAGATTTTACACTTTTCATGTACTAAGTTGGTAGATAAGTTGCTGGAAAAAAAACGACGCACAAAAATGTTTTGTTTAGGGGGTTGGGAGAAATAGAGAGGGAGAGAGAGAGTGAAAGAGAAAGAGAGAGAGTAGGGAGGATAAGGAGTAGCGCAGTGGTTGGTAGTGCAGTCCATCAGGAAGTATGGCGATCCCTCGACTCCCTCTACCTTGCCCATCCAACGCTCTCCTCTAGTTCACGTGGGAGCGCCTTAACTCGGGTATCTTCATGGTTGCAAAGGGATATAACTTCAATGATGCTGAGATATTTGCAAAACTCCGGACCGCAGGTGTATGTGGTGGGGAACGAACGCGCTATTGTCCTTTCCGGGGAGTAGCGCGTTCACCACCACACCATGCTCGTCCTTCGTTTCGCCTGTCTCTCAGCTAGTTCTATCAATATTTGCCAAAGCAATCACCCGTCAGCGGGATTAATCTGGGGGGCCCAAATCGGCAGCGAACCCAGTTAAGCTGGGGCCGCAGTTATAATCAGAACTTTAACTTTTCCGGGGAGTAGCGCGTTCACCACCACACCATCCGGGTCCTTCGTTTTGCCTGTCTCGCAGAGTCAACTCGAGCACCGTGCTACGGTATTCGCAAAGAAGACAGTTATTAAACAGAAGCCGAAACAACATGCGAAATATTCAAAAGTCTTTTTGGGTTATGAATGTGAGGAAAACGATTCGAATGCAAGAATAAAAATTACGTATGTCATTAAGATGGTGCTTCTTTACTTCTGTTCTGGGGATCGAGAATTTATGATCAGTTATCGGAAATCCAGAATTAGGCGCTATGTTTTAATGTGTCATATAGGAAGAAATCCCATGTTTCAAAGCGGCTCTTAGGCGCCTTTCATTGGTGTGCGTTATAAAACATTTTATGTTTAATTCATCTTAGTGACGGGAAATAGCGTAGTTTTGTGCCGCAGAGAGGTTTAGGAACAGGATGGGTGATCACGAATTTGGGGTACCTATTCACCAACTATTCTTGCATCGTCTCCGTCAACATAACCATACATTTGGTGAGGAAACGTGTAGGACTCCACCATGTATCGTAGGTGCTAAAGTTTGTGTGTTAGCAAGAGACCTCTCGTGTTACCACTCTACAGTCAGTATTGTGCTCTGAAACGCGCGCGGAATCCGGAGCTTAATGGGTGAATGAATTATGCAGCAGTGTTCTCAAACGCTGTTAGTCTACTATACTAGTCGCTGTTGTGCATAGAGGGGAAGGAAGCTTTTGTACGACCTGATAACGGAGCGTGAAACCTGAGTACTCTGTCACAACGACGGACACCATGCCTTTTAGCAGCCTGATTTGTACCTCAGCGTTAGGCTGATGTAATCAATCAACGCCGTACATCCTTATATTGTAGTCTTCCTGAAATAATTCTTTTTAATGTTTTTGTAATAAAGAGAAAAAGGGATGAACGGTTTTATGATTTTCTTTACTATTTCAATGTTGTTTCTTCCGCTGTTCCGTATATCTTATATTCGTTGCCATCTATGCTAATGTTAAATTGCTGTAAGTTTAGGAAAGGCATAGCTTTTCATGCTTTCTTTTTGTAAGCGTGTATAGGATTGATGATGCTTATCTTGTTTTCCAGAGTAAGAATAATACTGCACAACAACAATATCAGCCTCCGGCAAAAAAAGTGGAAGAGAAGAAAGACAACACGCGTCCAATCAGTAGTACACCAGTAAGTGGTACAGCATGGTGTGTTGTATGGACAGGTGATGGGAAGGTAAGCGTTTGATCTACCTAACAATTTAACTGTCTGGTTTGGTACTGTATGCGTGGAAACATTCTCATTCAACGGACTTTTAATTCTGAAGGCCCATCTTAAAACATTTTTAGACAAATGCGAAGATATGTACTTTAGCTGAGGTGACTTAAGAATGTTTTCACACTTTTATGTTTTCCTGACTTTTGTTTAAGACAATTCTTATACTGCATTCCTATATGTTTTACTGGATACCATTTATATCTTTCATATTTTACAATGTTACAGCAGTAGTCAACATTTCCAGGTATTCTTCTATAATCCATCAACAAAAACGTCTGTGTGGGAAAGACCTCCGGAAATGTATGGTAGAGCTGATGTTGATTTACTAGTCAGCAAATGTCCCGAAATAAAAAAAGGTTTGTTTATCTGGTGGTATTGTAGTGGACGCAAATACCGCTGCGGTTAGAGGTGCGCTGCAACAGTGATGGAATCGCTTGTTGCCCTGATTTTGTTCATGCGTTCAGCAACCATTCAGCTTTCTGTAGGACCCAGGTCGGTAAATTGGTAGTTGACTTTACGAGCAGGATAGTAGTAATTTAATACATTAGTAGACTCTTACATTCATTGCATGGAAAATATGGAGTTGGCAACTATACATAGTGGAGTAGAATGAATGGACCATCTATGAGGAACTAATGCCAAGCGCCCTATACTTTATCCCTTTTGTGCTAGTAAATTCAGTGCTTTCGTTGCACATCTAGAGGTTTTTTAGATGAGCCAGAACAACAGAAGAGTGTTGGAGACTCAGACGAAGGTTCTGACGATGAGGAGGGAGAAGATGGAGAGCCAGCAAAGAAAAAAAGTAGATCAGAGCGCAAAAAGGCGGCTCTCCTAGCTCAGCAGAAAAAAGAAAAGGTATGCTTAAGTTTTTTTTCAACATATGTGAGAACATACTAATAACAGCCGTTTGATACTATTAATATTTTCGCCCAACTAGTTTTAGTGCATAATCTGCTGTTTTATTTCCTAGGAAAAACCAGTGCGTCAGATGCTTGAGAAGCCTGTGGATCCAGCTGTTGCTGCCGAACTGCAGGCTCAACGTGATCGCGAAAAGGTATGGCAGTATAGATGGTAAATTTACCATAGTGTTTAATACACGGTGCTTTTTTAAGCTACCTTTGGAAGAACGTCTTCTACAGTTCAAAACAATGCTGGGGGAAAAAGGTGTTGCCACTGGCAGTACATTCGAAAAAGAGCTGTCAAAGATTGTCTTTGACCCTAGATATTTGCTGTTGAGTGCCACGGAGCGAAGAGCGGTATGTTGCTGTCTTACTTTTGAAACAGTGGGCGGCTGTTGTTCATCAAAAGGCACGTCTCTTTGCTTTCCTCTAAGTCACTTTTAAATTGAGATATGGGAACCGTGCGTTTTCATTGACTCCTTATTAACGCAACCATGTGGAGATGGAGTTTTCTTCTTTGTGTATTAAGATTAAATAATGTAGAAAGTACGGATCTCGTGGGACATTATAAGAGTGTGTATCCAAAGTGGGCTTCGATTCTTGTAAGTGACGACTAATTTGTTATTGGGTTGATCGACATAAACCTACAAAACTTCGTCCTATAACAGTTCCCCAAATTTGTTTTTGGAACAAACACAATAACAACTCTTGGTTTCATTTAACAACCTCAAGTTAGTTCTCTGTTTCATAGTGAACGTGTACACGTCGTGCAGTGTTAAAGGTGGTAAATTCCAGACTCTGGTTTCTTTAAATCTAGTGTTTCTTTTGAGTGAACGTTAAGGGACATATGTGGGATAGAACTGGTACTGAACACCCTATAGTGAGGAAGAAATTTAGTACAAAAATCAGGAACATGAATTATCGAGCTCGCAGCTCTTTAAAACAACCTTGGATCTTCGAATTTAGCCGAGGACATTAATATCTGAAGATCACATGTAGGATTACTTCTCATTTCAAGCTTAAGTTTTAATCCATGTCTTTTATATTACCACATTGATCGTCGATCGACTCTGAATAGTTCCATTTTGTTCCTTTGGAGCTCAGAAGAAGCACAGTGGGCCCCTTTTACTTTAAGGTTCCTCATTGTATTCACCACTTTAATGCTTTCGAAAGCTCCTTAAAGAAGTCGTTCCCTGCTGTGCAGATCGTCATACAACATTCGCAGTATTCGTACCATTGAGAGTGACGCATAAGAAATAAATCCATTTTCGGCGAATATCGTTCTCTTCGGATCCAATGGAAGACAATTTTTTTTCTCAGTCAGTTTCGTGTGGGTCTGCACTGACGGCAATAGCCTGGGCTGCAGAAGAAGTAACATTGGGAGAGCATATTTACCATCCTTAATCTGGAATTGAGGTAGATAGATGGAGTGTCAAAGGCATCGGATGGAATTCGCAATCAGACTGTAGTAACTGTTTCATGTTGACAACACAGGATAGTAACCCTGGCTTTGTAACCGGCAAGGTCTTGGCAGGCTCTATTAATTCTCTTTAGAACATTGGTTGCTATTACTGCTGCCTTTCGGTCCTTAAAATCTTGTATCTTTTCTCTAGTGAGCTTCCGATGAATTTAGCTGATTACCTTCGGTTCATATGACTCCATACTCCCGTGTTGTCGCAATAGTTTACAGAAGCAGCCATATTTTCGTGACTATCAACCTCTCGGCTTTTCAAGCGTCCCCTTAAAGATATTGCATAGTTCGGTCGTACTCTTCATCGTTATGGATAGTGGTACCCTTCCAAATGCCAGCTAAAGTTGTGAATAAATCCCAATTCGCGATGGTGTTGGGAAATAATCCCTTGGATTTTCCAGTTCTCCATCCTTTCTATAAAAAAGAAATCTTATACAGAGTAGACGATTGCCTGGTTTCCTGTCATCCCTTCTGGTCAGTGGTGGCGTTCATTAGACTGAATCTTCGATTTAATATAATTTGGTCTATTTCTTTTTGCTACAATCCTTTAGGAAATGCCCACATTCAACGTCGATAGAGGGGCTTTCGTGGTTTCCACTAATAGCCTTGGGCAATCTTAGACATTATTTGTGCTTTTCGTATCATCGCAATACTTGTGCTAGTGTGATTTTCTGCGGGCGCTGTATTCTTACATTTATGCTATGTCATTCAAAATGAGCCTGGAGCTTCAAATGTAAGACAGGTCGTTGAATATGTTTGTTGCAGTGCTTTGATGCTTACGTTCGCGAGAAACTTGAGCATGAACGTGCTGAAAAGAAGCGTCGCATGAAGGAAGCAAAGGAGAAGTTCCAAGAGTTGCTCGCGGAAGCAGAGTTGCATGGAAAGTGGGTATTATTTCAGACACACTTTGTGTACATTTCATCATTAATGGGATAGTTCTTGAATTTTTTTTGTTGTAGGAATTATGTTTCGATGTTTCCTACCTTCTTTGCTTTAGAACTTGGTTAGGATTTGATGTTCTTCTCCAGAATCTGCTAAAATAGTTTTGTTATTCACAACAGTAAAAGTTAAGATCGTCGTTCTCTTCGTTTGGTTCAAAATTTGGCAAAGACCCTCGTTTCAAAGCTGTGGAGAAGATGCGTGATCGTGAAGATCTTTTCAATGAATTTGTCGGAGAATTACATAAAAAGGAAAAGGAAGAACGAAGAGAGAAGAAGGAAAAGGTAATAAAAATCCAGTACTTAACATCAGAATTCGTTGTTATTGTGATGAAGACCAGATGTTATTTTCACTGACTGATTTCTTTGTTCAGGCAAAGAAAGATTACCTAGCAATGCTTGCTGAACAAACGAGTTTCACTCGGAAGACAAAATGGTCGTCGGCAAAAAAGTTACTCGAGAACGACGAACGTTTTAAAGCTGTTGAAAGTTCTTCATCAAGAGAGCAGATGTTTCGTGATCACGTTGAGAAACTTGGTGACGAGAGCTTATCAGTAAGTTGAAAGCAAGTTCTTTGTTATATATGCATGCTAAGTCGTATGCACCGAGATGTTACTCTTCAACCTTTATGAGTACGTAGTTCTATTAGGAAATTTAGGATATTGAAGAAGAAGCTGAACGCGAGAAACGTCTAGCAGCCGATGCTGCGATTGCTGCAAGACAGCGCGAAGTAAGAAAAATTCTACCATAAATAAATATCTACGGCACTCAAATATTTACGGTCAATGCTTTGGTTTATTGAAAAACCTACATGGTCGTCTTGTAGATCTGTTGTGGTTAGTGTTTCTATCCCGTCGACTTCATAGCCGTAATGATTTGAATCGAATGTTTTAGCAGCTATTTCCTCTCAAGAACCATTATGTTTAGAAAGGGCACTGTTGGGTGACTTCAATATTGTGGTGCTTCACATTACTTGATTCGCTTACGAAGATCAATTTCGCGGGAAATCACTGCTATGTAGTCGACTGGAATGACAGCGATAAAGATTTTTACCAAGCTTCCGTTTTTACTTTCGTGGAAGCTTATGAATAACAAAGGTGTTGCTGATCCATGCTAAGGTTAAATGGAATGCGGTATTAGAAATACTTGCATTTAAATGTGGTATTGATATTATGGATATCCCTTGTGATTTTATTATTTGCTGTTATTGCTCTTAATTTTTTTTTTGCAACCATAGGCTCACTAAAGAATTAAATTATTTCAGCCTTAACCGTTTTATTTACTGTCTAATCTTTTTAATGGCAGTGTATATATTGCAAAATATAACTTCAATGATGCTGAGATATTTGCAAAACTCCGGACCCCAGGTGTCTGCGGTGGGAAACGAACGCGCTATTGTCCTTTCCGGGGAGTAACGTGTTCACCACTACACCATGCGGGTCTTTCGTTTCAGCTATCTCTCAGCTGATTCTATCAGTCACCCATTAGCGGGATTATTTCATTTACAGGTGGAAGCCGAACTAGGAGACAAGCTTCGTGAGCGGGATCTTGAAAGTGAACGACATCGTTTACAGGAGCACCAAGAGCGCTTCAATGCGCTCCTTGTAGATTTGGTACGTTTGTAAAAAAAGGCAGTATCGGCTGAAACAGATAAGATTTCTTATACGTCCTTTTTAGTATAGGGTCTCATTGTATTAACCCTTTCACTTGCAAGCGCACTGATTCCCATATTTGCGCTTTTGGACGTTTCGGACCGTACATCTTTTATTTCAATATACACTTTTTCTGGCCTATTTTACTGCACAGAACTTTTTTGCCAGACTTTTTGTGGTCAACCGATGACTTCTCAAACACAAATGCAATACTGGCATTGATCCATGTGTAGGCATTCTCAGTGCGCCACATTATCGAAAAGTGCACTATGCTACGCTTTCCCACTTTTCAACCCGTCTGCTTAAATCCCACAATGGATCTCTTGCTATTCACGCAGTTTAGAACCTAAGAGAACTTTGTCGTCACGAAAGAGGGCATTCCACCGAGGGGACTTCTTTACACGTCTTTGTAGTACACGGAAAGTTTATACATGTTCAAATTGTGCATTTTTGAATTAGAAAACTACATCCTTGGGAAAAGAACATATTTCAGACGTTTATTACACATTTTTATCGCCGATGCTGTGAAAATGTAGGTCGTAAGCACTTATTCTACACTGTACGAGTTCTAAAAGAAACTTACATGGAGATATTGTTAGCGTCTAAAAGGAGTAAGCGTAGGTAGAGTTCGCATTCGTTAATATTCGGTGTACTTCTTCGTGAAAAATGCATATTCTTAACCTATATATTTTCACACCTTAGTGTGTTCTAAAGCTTTTACTTGAAACAGTCAACAGCTTATCGGCGATTAGCACAGGTCTACACTTTGCCGTTTTTGTATAGAATTTATAATTGTTACGTACAACCAACACTTAGTACGTCCAATAATAATCACTGCTTAGTTCTTAATCTACCTACATATACATTTGACGTTCGGTACTCCTTTGTTTTGAGTTGAGATCAACAAATATATGTGGATTGTTCTAGCATCAGTGTTGCCACTTTCCTATCCATATTCTCATGTTTCTCAAAATTGCGATGTCATTTTATTTTCAGGTGAAGTCTGCAGAAGCAACATGGCACGAAGCTAGGCGTATTCTTCGAAAAGATGAGCGCTACGCAGAATGTGACTTGTTGGACAAGGAGAAGAAAGAAAACGCATTTAACGAACATGTACGGTATGTGTTAACGCTGTCTTCTATGGGTTTATCCAGTGAGAAGGTAGTGCCACTTTTTTTTCATGAATCACAGCAATCACGCGTGGTTGTGACTCATTTCCCATTCAATTCGTCTTGTAACCGTTCTCACCCATGGCAACAGTCGGTGTATGAGAAGATATGAACCAAAAGTACTTTTGTGGTTACAACTGGTTAGCGCTCAGTTCCCATTTGTTTCGTCTTGTCATCATTCTCACTCATGGCAGCAGTCGGTGTATTAGATGTGATTCAAAAGTACTTTTGTGGTTATATCTGGTTGGTACAAGTCCCGTTTGAGCACTTTCATTCTTTTTGAGTTGTTTAGTCTTAGATTTCGAATGCTTATATCCTGTATTATTAATCCACCATGACGAAATGTTTTTCTAAAGTTTCACCTTCGAATTTATATCTGCCATATTTCCATGTTTGTTATGAATCCTTAATTTAGTTAAGTATTAAATCACATATCCCTTCCTTTAGCTGAAAAATTGTCGAATAGAACAAGCGAACGTGTTGTGGAGCCACCAGTTTCTTGGCACTTGTTGGCAACCTTTGGAAAGCCGAAAGACGCCTATATCGGTTTCCTTCTCTTTCATCTTCAGCCCGCTTCTTAGTTTTGTTAAGTACCACGCGTTAGGTTGGAGGAATATCCGTCTTGATTCTTCTGCGAAAATGTTGATTCATTTTTAACTAAGTAACTTTTCACTCATAATTACCGCAAAAGTTCTACTGTAAATAGTAAAGTTGCATTTCATTGATTTATCACTTATTGTAATCTGTCTATTGTTTATAGTAATCTTGAAAAGAAGCGGCGTGATGCGTTCTTTGCTGTACTGGACGAGCATTCAAAAATTACTACTCAAACACGATGGAAAGAGGCGCGACGTATTATTCAAGACGAGGAGGAGACGTTTTCGAAAGTCGCTAGCAATAGTGAAAGAGTGAGTTAGTTGTAGGTCTGATTATTGCACCATTTGTCAATTATTTCCATTACAAACTCTTGGTACCAACGGACCATTCTCGTAACTATGTGAAGGTTTTCAGAAAGTCGAGCGGGATTATAGAGACTGGCAAGAAATGCGACACGACAATGCGGTGCGCGAGTTTAAAGATCTGCTGAAGGAAACGAAAATCATCACGTATAAAAGCAAACGTATGATAGAAGAGAACGAACAACACTTGAAAGACATTCTTGCTGTTCTTGAGGTTTGTGGAGTTTGCTTCCTTCGTTGTAAAGTTGGCATGTGGAAAGTCTTTTAACTTCAATTTCTTTAGAATGATAAGCGTTGGATGCGCATGTCTGAGAATCATGCTTCGGAACGTGATAGAATTTTGGATGAGTATATCGAAGTTCTTCACAGAAAGGGTACACCACCACCGCCGACACAACAAGAACGTGAGCGGCGACGGAAAGAAACTGTTTGAAATGACTCACTGAGTATTTTTGTGTTCTTGATATTCCTTATCATAACCTCAACCTTGTATAAGAAGTTTTCTTCTGTAATTTTGCTCTGCTGTAATCATGTTGTAGCTTTCATGTTTTTTTCTGTTAGTTACTGTTTCTTGTTGCATCATTGTCGGTGGTTGAACTATCGCGTTAGAAGTTGGTGGACGGAATACATTTAAATTTCACAAATTTCTACGATGTTTAGCTCTTGTAGTATACGGTTTGAAAATGTAACCACTCGTATGGCGTGCAGTTTGAAAACGTTACATTGCAAAAACATTGTAGTTGTTTAACTTTGTTGTGGTTGCACGATGTGGAATGTGACGGCGTTGTATATCCAGTTATTACTCTTCTCATCAAGTTGATAATCCTTCATTCGGCTTATCTTCACAATTGTTTGGGTTTTTAAAAAATAAATCTTGTTTTTAAGCGTCTTAATGTGTGGTGTGAATTTCCTTGTTGCAGCGATGTTGCTGAACAACATGGATTTCAAAGAGAGCGCGGTGATATCTCATGGTGTGCATCTGTATTTGCAGCTGATATAGTTGCGTTAACATTTTTAAAAAGTCCGTATTCCACCTTTAACTTATGTTTTAGTGAGTCTCTAACTTTTTGAGTCTAGTCTAGTCTAGAACTAGTCTAAAGTGAAGGAACGTGTGTTGTCTGGTACAAAAAGAAGACGTGGACTTACGCGAACAACGTGGTCACATATGATAAGACTAATGGTGATTAACTTGAAAAATCGGAGGAACACAGGAAGTCGGGAGCTTCCTTGTTATCCCCGGGTTATCTTAGACATGCGACCAGTTTACTAATGCAATAAGGACGAGCGCCGTTTAGATTGCTCTCCTGATGGAACGCGAGCAATTTTTGGTTGACTAACAACGTCCTGGTTTTTTGATAATGGAAGATAATTCTTCAGATACTAGAGTGATTTAGCCCGGATAGCATATTGGTAGTAATGCCGATCACCATGAGTACGGTTCTGGTTCAATCTTGTTGACCAAGCTCCGGGCTCGCAAAGCCTCTCATCACTCCGAGATCGGGAAGTTGCTACCGGACTTATTCGAAAAAAAAAATCACCTTGCAATCTAATTGGGGACACTCTAGGTCGGATGTTTCAGGAATTTAAGGTGAATCAACTCGACCAGCAGTCTACGATACTCAAAATTATATGAAAATCCTCAAGCAGCAACCGAAGCCACGCGTAGAAATTAGAAGACCTTCGTCAATGATGGATGGAGGAAACGAAACGAGAAATGCGTTGAGAAAGAGAGAAATGGGAAATCCTGCGCTCCGCACTAATAGACATGAAGATGGGTCGTATCAAAAAAATTAAAAAGGAAGACTGATTTGTGGGTCGTGCATATAACAGAATTGTAGAAGAGACTTTGCTCCATCGTTCTATTGGTATAAATGACGTGTGTGCCACTCTGGTTTCATATGAAAATGCATTGTTTTTAGCCTATTTTAAGTCCAGTTCAGTGTCTTTTATAGCCGCATATTTCATAGGATAACCGTAGTGGTTGAAATCAGATAACAGTTATTGTCTTAAAAACCGACTTTCATTAAACGTCAGTGGGAATAAACAGTAATTTTCTACATGACCGAGCTAACACGAGGTTGCTATAGAGCTTTCAAAGTAACTGCGCCTTCGCCCTCTTGATAGCCACGTTGACTCGAGCTGATGGTCAGCAGCTGGTCGTTGTCGCGATGTAGGTGTTTGTACTTCCATCGAGTCGAATGTATTGAAGGGATCACCGCTCGAATGGCGAACTTCACTCAGTGGTGTCCTTTCATACAGGACTGGTGTTGATCGATTGTGGCCATACAATATAACCTTTTTGGTGGGCAATGCATCCTGTAGTGGTCGATCTTCACTTGCATGCACATGTTAACAGTTAATTTTAACTCAAATTATCGCTCAATGGAGCTTTTATCGCACAATGAAAACATTTCTTTTGTAAATCGACAAGCTCAGAGAATGGATTTCCTAGTCTCACCACTAGTGTTTCGATCTGATTTCGATTGGCTATCCAATATGCACCAAACGGAAATTGGACAGTACCGGGCCCTATGGGTTAACGATGTTGACCCTCCTTGTTTAGTGAGGGAACAAGTCATTCATTTTTGTCAACGGCGATTATTTTCGGATATTTTTATTATCATTCAGGTGTTTCAGACAAAGAGATTTGTTGTTCAAGTTGTAGAAATCAAGTGCTAAACAGTGCATCATCGATGTGGTTTACATTCTTAGCTATTCATACACCACTTTAAAATCGTAGTGAAGCATGATTACTACGATTCATCGCTGATGTGGAGTCGTTGCATCCCAAGTAGATGTTTCTATTTACTTCATACCGAATGAAAATGATGAACGGAAATATGAAATAAAAGGCATGAATATCTCTTTACAAGATGGTGAATATATGGATGACTACCAGGGCAAGACATGCTACGCCGGGCGCAAATTGGGTAGTTAAGCTTTCCTGAAATTAAGAATTTTAGTAGAAAGAAGGCTTTGAACTCTATGCTATGAAATCAGGTAAAACCTAATCTCTTACTAAATGCAATGCCAAATTTCACCTTAATGGGAGGGTAACGCAGTGGTAGTGATGCGGATGATCATGAGCATGGTGCTGGTTCGGTTCCACACCGGGTTCACCAAGGCTCTAATCTCTTCGGGGTTGCCAAATTGGTACCGGATATCTCTGGGAAAAGTTCACTTTCTGCAGTCCAAGTGCGAACGTTGTGGCCTGGCTATCTCAGGATTCCAGGGAGACTCGCCTAGTCCAGCATTCAGAGACATTCATGACGAAAGGGAAATCTTCAAGCAGCAACCGAGGCCATACGTAAAAGGGATGGAAAATCCTCGTGGATGATGGATGCGAGGAAATGAATCGAATGTGAGAACTGCTGGGATCCGCACAAAAGATGTGAAGACTTGTCGTATAAAAAATTATACTTTTGTGTTCATGATACCACTTATCACCAATATTTACTAACATATGGGGTAAGACGTGAGATGATTTTCACATATACGTGATCAGGTGAACAGCATGAACCGGCATGAAATGACATCAACTCATTTTATTTTCAGTCTTCTTGCTGCCGCCTAGAGGTTTTAGTGTACTTTTTGTAGTTAATTGACAACTTATCCAAGGGTGCCTAGCATCGGAGCAGAAAACCTTGTGTTTACATGCATTCTTGAACGGATTCGTTTTCTAGGCTACAGATGCTGTTTGTTAGGACGGTAGGGACAGGGAGAGCGTGACAGAGGAAAGATAAGATGTCGCCGATTCTTGGTTGAGATTCGTGTCGGTTATTACCTTTCCACTGATAGTGCTTCACAAGGGCTGTTACCAATCAGGAGGGTGTGCATGATATGTAAACGACGGTAAGTAGATCAGTCGACATGAGTTGATCTCAATTCACGGTGTATTCGGTGAGATTTGGCATCGACTAGATGGAATAGATACGAAGCTAGGCATTGGACTGGTATAAGTGTTAATGTACGGTTTTTTGGTAATGTCTGTTGTACGCCTATAATCCAGTCGCATTGCACCACTCACCTCATGAGTTATTTTTGTGCTGGAAGAAACAACTTGGTGTGAAGTAGATGCAGTGGCTGTAGCTAAATATGAAATGATAAGGCAAATTGATGAGTTAGACTCGTAAGAAGAAGCATGCAGTTTTTCGTGAACAGTGCTCAACTGCCTTTTTTCCAGTAAAATTTGGTGGAATCGCTCAGAATTGGAAATGGGAAACGAACATTTGCTCATCTATGAATTTATTGAACAGATGATGAGAATAGATCCCTAGTATTTATAGTTATAGTTATCTCATTCTACAACGATATTAACATTGACGTCAAAAGAGTGGTTATGCAAGGCGACAACATCTCGCCAAAATTATTTACCGCCACCCTCCAGAACGTCATGCGAACGTTGGAATGGGATAATATGGGAGTGAAAATCGATGGTCGGCAGTTACACCATCTTTGCTTTGTTGATGACATCGTCCTTATAACGCCAAAAATTAGCCAAGGGAAGCGTATGCTTGCGGACTTGATAAAGCCTGTGGAAAGATTGGTCTTCGATTAAATCTCACAAAAACGATGTTCATGGGAAACGGATTGGTTTCGTATGCTCCACTCACGCTCAACGGAACGAACATCTCCGAATGCTCCAATTATGTCTGTCTAGGTCGGAAAATCAATATGATGAACGACTTAGCTCAAGAGCTGAGCAGAAGGAAACCAGCGGCTTGGGGAGCTTTCAAAAGCGTAGAGGATGTATTGAAGAGGACAAAGAACACCGGACTCCGTGCCCACCTCTTCGACTCCACGATACTTCCTGCCCTAACCTATGCGTCAGAAACCTGGTCGCTGAGTAGGCAGGATGAAAAATCACACAGCGTTATTGAACGCGCAGTCGAAAGGGCGTCCTAGGAGTATCCCGTTTCACACAAGTAAGGGATGAGATCAGAAACTCTGACCTGCGTCAACGATCAAAAATTAAAGATGCCGTTTTGTACGCCAAACAGTCGAAGATTAGGTGGGCCGGACACGTAATGCGTATGAATGACGACCGATGGACAAGAGCCGTTAGTGATTGGATTCCTCGGGATGTTAAACGCACTTCAGGAAGACCACCGACCTAATGGCTAAAGTTCTTTACGAGAAGCCTAGAAGAAAGATATGATGATCGAAGAGTATCTACAGCGAAAACCCACTGAGCTACTCTTGAACGCAACTGGGAAAAATGGAAGATTTACTGGCGCCCGTTCGAGTCACTCGACGATCAACGGGACCGCAGGTTATACAGGCGATACAGTATTTAAAGTAATATTCATTTATGTAAGGAATACGCCAAAATTTCCATAACGGAAAGTTCATGAGCAGTTTCTTGGAAGGATTTTTCTCCTTTTAATTTTCTTTGCTCAGATTTGTTTTGTATACGTTGATATTTTTAGAGAA